TTCGTAAGACATTCCACGCATCCTATTGAACTTTAAATTTCTTGAGATCCTTACCTGAATTAGCAATGAATCACTGATAAAAGAACATCAACAGGATATTTTTGTGACTGAATTTATTTTGCACCAGATATAGAAGAAAGACTAAAACGGTAACAAAGTGCAATCTGTTGCACTACACAAGTTTGAAATACAACACCTAATATTTGAGACATTCCACGCATCCTATTGAACTTTAAATTTCTTGAGATCCTTACCTGAATTAGCAATGAATCACTGATAAAAGAACATCAACAGGATATTTTTGTGACTGAATTTATTTTGCACCAGATATAGAAGAAAGACTAAAACGGTAACAAAGTGCAATCTGTTGCACTACACAAGTTTGAAATACAACACCTAATATTTGTCAACATATCAGAACTGAGATAAACTGATAAGATTTCTCGTTTTATCAGTGATGAGATAAATCACACACCTAGATAGGAAAAATCACATGCTCCAAGCCAGCACTAACTCTCCTAGCAGCTTCACTGGCGGCATGTATGGGATCACAATGTTATAGCCAAACGGTGTCTACTCCCCCCCCAGGTTTTGACAAAGAAATAACCTGGTTAAATACAAAGGCATTGAAGGCATATTGTGTGTGACTGCTAACTAGTTACAAAAGGAAAGCTTACTTATTCATAATATGCATTTTAAAAGTTACAGTAGACCTTAAACTACCCTTGCATTAAATAGAAAGGTACTGGAAGAATAACTGGCTAAGTGATAATGAGGAACAAAAAGCAAGAGGCAAAGTGAGAGATGATGTTGAAGAACAGACTGAAGGAGAAACAAGGAACCGAAAACACTAAATTGTGCATCTACTTCCAGGAAAAAGCAGCAGTTCCTTTTATCTCCCCCCAACCCCGCTACAATACATTGTTGATCCTGAAACAGGTTTTTACCAGGTTGATCTCTTATCTATTTTATTTAAGCCTGAGAAATTGCTCAGTGGATTTTGGGAGTTACAGGAGAACACTAAACTATTCTTTATCTCTGAAAGTTTTTAAAAAATTTCCCTACGTAGTTGTAACTACTTAATCTCTCAAAGTGTTGAGCAACCGTGGAACTTATTTTTGTAGCTGAACTGCTACTGGTGGTTGGCACTTAAAAGCTGAAAAGGGATAGGTACTGCAGAACAGACACCAGCCAAGTGTAGTGAAATTACTTATAGCCTGAATGATCTCAGGCTCACAGTATTAATAGCGCAAACGAACCAAAGCAAGCAGGGGGAAATTTTTGCAACATTTCCTGCAACATAGGTATGATTGATGTATCACCTACTGTATTGTGTTCAGCTTTCCTTATTTCCTTCTGTGATTTCTGACAAAACCTGTTTTTCGTTCAAGCTAAGATCTGCGTATGAATGGGAAACTGTCTGCTATCAACAAGTATCAATAGCACTCACAATTAAAGTAAGCATTCAACTGTAAATTCTGATCAGAATACGTTGTGTGCAATGCCCTTCCAGAAACTGTAGTAAAGAAGAATAACCAGATTTTAGTTTCATTCTCAGAAAAAGAGCTACCACATTTCTAAGAGGTTACATTCAATGCTACTTAAGGACAGCTCTGCTGACATTTGGATTAGCTGTATTAACAAGAATGTCAGTGAATATGATTGTTAATGGGAACATTTCTCAATAATCTGTAGTTTCTCTACAAATGACAGTACTTATGCTCCCATGTTAAAAAGAAAATTTCATTTGGTCTATTACAAACTAAGACACATATACAATTTTTTTCAAATCACTGATTACTCCCTCTAAGATATCCTGAGTTCTCTCAATAAAGTAGATGAAAAGGCTACTCTGAAGCAAGCAGACAACTTGCCTCCGTTAGTGTGATAAGTTGTGATAAGGCAGCAATCTCTTCAATAGGTATGATAGCAAAAAACCACTTAACAAAGTCTTATATGACCTTCAGGCATCAAAGAAACAATCCATTCCTCCTCTATAGTTGCCAGAACAACCTTGACATTTCATCTACAAATCCTTTTATGTTTTGTAGTTTACTTTTCTTGATGACAGTGAGACTAACAATATTCCAGGCCTTTGTCACTGTAGAGTTTTACATACCTTCTATGCAGGCTGCTGACAAACTTAATTTTCAAGTAAAGTGCAATTCCCTTCAGTTTAGAGTACTGCCCTACAATAGCACCCCCTCCCCAAAAAAAAGAATTAAAATCAAGATTTGCAGCAGATAGAACAGTTGCCAAATTTTAACTTTGCAATGGACAAACAGTACCCTGCTGCCAGACAGTTTTTTCCTACTACTGCTGGGGGACAGAAATAGTTTGGAAGACTAGTCAAGTCACACTGGCTACACCCAAACTTCTACCCAGCACAGACATTGTATAAGTGATGCTGTCACGGGATGCACATTGGTTGCTGTAATGTTTCAATAATGAGTCACACAACAGCTTGGAAAATCCATAAAAAACTAGCAAAGACATCAGGAGCCTGATAAGGCAGGAATAAGCAAGAAAAGGCAGATCCCAACAAAAGAGAAAACGATCACCGGCATGAGACTTCTCAAAATTTATAAACAAGCTTCAATGTTCAGTTTTGTTAAGTAAGTGAAATGTTTATATAAAGTGTTTAAGTTCATTTTTTAAATTTGTGTTTTGCTTCCTATGCACCAAAAATTCTACTCCTATGCTAATTAGAAAAAACCCAAAGGTGTCAGTTTCTGAAGAGTTTTGTTTTTCAGCTTTAAAAAACAATCTTTCTGACCTTTTAACTTACAAAGGCATGCATGAAGAGGTATATGAACGCCTAACAAATCTCAAGAAGATATGTGAATATTCTGAGGATCTGGACAACCAAGACACTGATGGTGAACATACAAAAAGGTATGGTACAAGCAGCAGCAAAAAGGAAACATGGGCCTGAATCATAAAGCTCTAGAGATTAGTATTAGTAGTAAAGCCATTTCCTTTTCTCAGAGTGATCCCAAAGGAAACACTCTGCTTTGAGTTTCTTGTTTCTCCCTGCGCTCAGAATGGGAAGAAAACATGCAAATTTAACAGGTATATACCAGACAGAAGTGAAAATAAGAGGCAAAAACTCCAAGGATTCAAGTACATGAGTAATAGCCCTTATCAAGCCTTTAACAACTACGGGAGGGTTGGAAATAACATGCATCTTCATAAGCTTTCTGTTGATCTTACTATGAAAGGATAAAGCACGGACTAGAAGACACTATTATATTCTCAGTCTTAAGACTATATACTGTATATATACTTTTCTATAACAAAAGAAGCGTTTAGCATTTTTCTATCTGCTATAAACATACTGCCTAGTCAACTTTTGTTTGACCTAAGAAAATGAATCCCCAAGCACTCATGCCAAACGGCTGGGAGTAGCTCTTTCACTATTACACCACACCCATATCCATCCCACACAGGCATGCTTCCCATACACTGGTTCTAGAAAAGACTGGCATGGAAGAATTTTAAATTAATTATCTGGCATGGCTTTGTCACTCATGACTATTAGGGCAGATTAGCTCTAAGTGATACACTTGACATTTACTGTTCTCTAAAAGCACTCTTACTGTGTCTAGTAGTTACTTTGGCTAACTCTTTATTAAACTAGTACTGAAAAATGAAGCTTGAAAAGCAACAGTTAAGCTCAGTTTTGTTGAGGTGCAGAGTTAAGCAGGTATTGAGTTAGTAAAAAATTTATGAGGGTCCTTAAAAAATAGGTACAGAACCTCAGATTTGTGATGAAAGTAAGAGGAATTGAGGGCAGGAAAACACTGGTGCTGAAACTCTTTTTGCAGTAGCATAGAAAAGCCGTTTGAGAAAGGGAGAGCAGAGAGATGACCGTACTAGCAGAAACAAGGAGAAAACTACTATGTCTGTAAACTTAAGAACTACAGATGAAGAAAAAGCATCAAGTTAGATTGCATCAAAACCCATCCTGAGCGTTACTGTTTGCAGAACATACAGTGATCTTGGTTTTTTGGTACGTGTATTAGAAAAGCAGTAAAGAACTAACATGAAAGTAGCTTTACAGGGAAAAAAAAAAAAAAACACACCAACAACTTTTGTATTTAAATTATTTTCTTTGTGGTACTTAAGACATCCTGGTCTGAAACCTTCTTTGCTGTTTGACCCTTAAGTGGAGTCCCAACTCTGTTTTCAAGTTGCCATGAAAATTAATGCAAAGACCAACTTAGAAATGCAATTCTCTGTCGATTCCAGCAGGAAGACAAGACAAGCTGTAGGTCCACATATGGTAATTACCAAATATGGCCAAAAACCCCTAAATATCATCAAATGGGTCTAAATCCACCCGCTTCCCCATGCAAAGAGTCCACCTAAGTAAAGCAGATTCTGCATTTCTCTTATGGGTAAATACCAATTGCTCAGTTATTTATCAGTGCTAGCCTGGTATGAACTTTAAAGGCAGCCAGCCTTAGTCACATGTTAAAGTAAGGTTGTCCAACAGCTAATTCTAATTGAAAAAAGTTTCTCTGGAACGGGCACAACAGAAAAGATGCAGAGTATCTAAAATGTATTGACCAGTTTTCCACATCTCCTTGAAAACTGTAGCATCACCCTTAGAGTAACAGCCCCCTTGAGAATAATCAGCAATACTGTTACCTAGCACCAAGTTACAGCTTCCTGAAAAAATGTCTCAGCTATATTAAACAGCAACCAAGTTACGACAGCACCAAATTGTGAAGAATCACCAAGCACTGCCACATCACCACACTGCAGTGCAATCCCATCAGTTTTAAATTTAAAAAAAACCCAAAAACAAACAAAACCACCACAGGGGCAGGGGAGAGGAAGGTTTTTTTTTTTTAAATGTCAAAGTTTTGGTGAAAATTTACTTCTGGCAGTTGCTCAAAAACTAACTTTTGCAGAGTGACAGTTAGCCAAATTCAACCTTGACTACACAGGAGAAAGGTCAAGCACTGTCAAAAGCAATGCTGCTCATAAACCAAAGATTCCATTGATTATCGGTAATTATTCACTACTTCCAAAACTTGAACCCTTAAGACTCATTTTGCACATGAATCCAAACCAGAGAGTGTAATCAGGATAGAACAAACACTGCAACTGAAGTTTGACATTTGAAACCAGTCTCAATGTCACTTTGCCTTTCACTTGACAAGGACACAGCATGTGCTAAAATCAGGAAGTGTCTGTTTCAGTGATCCTTTATGTAGAAATGCAACACATATACCCGGGGCTTGGTTAGGTTTTAAAGGCACACAGAAAGGGTAACGTACTATAAGTTGTTTCTCTGGCTTCTGGAGCCACGAGGCCTTACACGCACTGACAGGTGAAATGCCAAGGCTGGGCCCAGACGCCCGGCACCCACACCACCCCATGCCAAAGACACGCTGTGCGAGGTGGGCGTCGTGCTGCAGCAAAGTACACGAGAGCTTTCTTTTGAAACGCAAAAAAAAAAAGAGAACTCGCGCTGACATTTACAAGTGGAACCGGCTTCTTTGTCTGTGACCGAAGACTGAGCCGCTTCGCCATGTGCGGCTCAAGACGGCGAAAAAAACCCCCCCCCGCAACCACGCCGGGGCAGTCCCCCGCCAGCACTCACCCAGCACATCTGCCGACCGGTGCCGGGCCACGAAGCAGGCGTCATCCCCGTAGCACATGCCTTTCTTGAGGATGCCCTTGCGGAAATCTTTGCCAAAGCCACAGCTGGCTGTCACCAAGCTG